CTTTTAATACATTCAAGAGAGATTTTGACTTCCTGTATTATAGTCTTCATCTCTAACAGTTCCATTTGATTCTTTTGTAAAGTGTGTAATTCCTCTTTTAGATCTTGCAAGAATTTCCTTACCACGTGGAACTCATCAGTTCCTTTCTCCTTATTCTTCTGCAGTTCATTGTCTCTCTTCTCTTCCATCTCTGTTAGCTTCACCATTATGAATGTTCTAAATTCTTTATCAGACATGATTTCCATGATTTCAATTTAACTATCTGTGGATGCAGAGGAGTTATTCTTTTTTCTTGGAGAAGACAGTGACAGAGGTAGAGAGAGAAAGAGACAGAGGCAGAGGCAGAGGCAGAGAGAAGACTTGAGGGAGCTCCTACCACTGAATTTGTGGGCTGAATTGTCAGTAGAAAATCATTTCTTTATTCTCTGACATCACTAGTTCTCAGGAGCCATGAAGGTGTCTTCTGAGGCCTGCTCCCTCGCCTCTCCTGGGTTGAGAGGAGAGGGGATGTTAACAAGATAAAGGGAGAGGAGGGTTTGAAAGCTGAGAAAATGCTTTACCTTTAAAAATTTTAAAAAGGAAAAATTACCAAAAACAATGAGAAGACAGAGACAGAGAGGTAGAGGCAAAGGCATAGAGAAGGCTTGAGGGAGCTCCTACCACTGGGTTTGTGGGCTTGAGGTTGAATTGTCAGTAGAAAATCTACATTTTTTTATTCCCTTAAATCAGTAGTTCTCAGGAGCCATGAAGATGTTGTCTCTGTCTCTGTCTTTTTAATTTTTCTTTTCTGTAATTTCTTAAGGTAAAGTATTTTCTTGGTTCTGAAATCCTCCTTTATCTTGGTAATAATCCTCTCCTCTTTTCTCCCTCCCACTTAGGAGAGGCAAAAATGGTAGGCCTTCAGAAGCAGCCTGAGTCTGCCATGAAAGCTGAGATGTAGTGCTTTTGCATGGTACACTTGCACAGTTTTCATTTTTTGTTTTTGTTTTTTAAATACATAAATAAATAAATAAATAAATAAATAAATAAATAAATAAATAAATTTTGTTTTCTTTTTTATTATCTCTTTCTCTATTTTCTTATTCTTTTTCTTTTACTTCATCACTTTGCTGCTCAGCCTCCATGCATTGAGTGTCTAGACAGGTCTAAGTGAAATGCAACCAAACAAATACTATTAGGCTCAACATATTTCTCAATTCCCACTGATTCTGTGACACAAAGGGAGAAAAACAGAAGAGCAAAGAGTTTGCAAAACACCTCCTCCTCTGCGCCTGTGATCTTTCAGATTGAACTTCTAGAAATTAGGAAGAAATTAATAAGTCATCCTCAGATGACTAGAAATCACCATGGAGGCACAAGAAATATGAGAAACCAAGAAAATATCTCCTTTAATAGAAAAGAGTAACTCCTCTTTCTTCACAAAGAATACAAGGAAGCTAATGGAAATGTCAGATAAAGGATTTAAAGTACTTATAGTGACAAAGCTAACAGAGATCCAAGAGAAGAGCGACAACAAAGTCCAGAAGATGCAGGAGAACAACAGGTTTCAGGAGGTGAGGACATTCTTGCAAGAGCTAAAAGAGGAAATACACACCATAAAAAAGAACCAAATAGAACTGTTGGAGATGAAGGCAATAACACAGAAAGTCAAAACCTCCCTTTAAAGTATTAAAAGCAGACTAGATCATACAGAAAATCAAATCTCAAATGTAGAAAACAAAATCACTGGACTAGTAAAGTTCATCACAAAGACTGAGAATAGCGCCCCCCCCCAAATGAGAATAATATATGAGAAATATCTGGATAATCAGTATTCCAGAAGGTGAAGAGACTAATAAGGGCATTGATAATCTATTCCATGAAATCCTGGAAGAAAACTTTCCAAACCTGGAAGAGGCATCAAAGATCTAGATCCAAGAAATACAAAGGACCCCAAATAGAATCAACCCAAGAAGATCTTCTTCAGTAAAAATAAATGAATGAGAGGGAAAATAAGAAATCACCCCCCAGGAGGGATGGCCATACTGCAATCCCTATTCTTCTATTCTCTTTTTGGGATTTTGGGCATGCATGCTCATGTGCCTGCCATGAGTCACCTTCTCTAGTCTCCTCTAAGGATTTCAGGCACACATTCACTCACTCCCAGCATAATTTTTCAAGCCACGAGGTTTGAGACTCAAATTGCACAGCTGCATATGTGGGATCCAGCGCCTTCACCACCATACCACCTGCTGGCCCAATATGTCTATTTAATATATTCCCATGCCTAATGTATTCAGAAGAATATTTTAAAAAATCAAACTCTACTAGTGGCTACCTTTTTAAAATTATTTAATTTTGGGACCAGGAGTTGGCGTAATGACTATGTCGCTGGACTCCCACGTAGTTGACTGCGGTTCGTGTCCCAGACCCAGTGGCTTAAAACTCACGCCGGGCGCATGTGCATGTGTGCCCAAGATCCCGAGAGGAGAATGAAGGAGAAGGGATTGCGGTGTGACCATCCCCGCTGGGGGGTGATTTCTCATTTTCTCTCTGTCTCTCTCTGTAAAAAACCTCTCAAAAAAAAAGAATTATTTAATTTTATTCTATAGGGCGCGTGCGCTCACCAGACAGACAGAGAGAGACAGAAAGACAGAAAGCGAGAAATCACCCCCCAGGGGGGAGGGCCACACCGCAATCCCTTCTCCTCCATTCTCCTCTCAGGATCTTGGGCGCGCACGCACACGCGCCTGTCGTGGGTTTTAAGCCACCGGGTTCGGGATGCGAACCGCAGTCGACTACGTGGGAGTTCAGCGACATAGCCATTACGCTAACTGCTGGTTCCCAAGGGAGTCCAGTGTCTTAACCACCATGCTACCTGATGGCCCCACTAATGACTACCTTTTATTTTTAAATGTAGCAAGTCATGAAGCAGATCTTTTCCTAAAATTAAAGATTTTCTAATTGTTTTCAATTTTGTCACAGTCTAAAGGAAAAAGAAGCTGGATGGCAACCTGGACACAACATGAAGTCTACCTTGCATATGGTTCTCTTCGATTTTTAAAAGTAGCGACTACTGCAAAATTGAAAACTCTTCTAAAGCTATCACCAACTGCCACTCTGACAATTCACCATGTCGAATATACAGCGCACCCTCTGGAAATTGGCCTGTTATTATATTATTGCAGTACATGCACTGCTACTAAAAATGTTTACATAGTGATATACAATGAAGATACAAAACAGTTTGTGTGCCAAGACTTTACAATAGAAATCCCTATGGACAATTTTTTTACTCCATATTTTATATTTTCATCAATGCCAGATGTAATTTTGCACGACAAACATAGGATCCACTATTGCTATCAAAATTTCACCATTACTGGAATTTTGGAAACACCTACAGGAAATGGAAATCTATCAACATTATCCCATGACAGCGTTATTCAAGAGGTTTATTTAGGTGAGGCATTCTTATGCTGATAAAATTATTCTAGATCTAATTATAGACATGTTCCTTATGAACATATAGCAATTTTAAATGCATCATCTTGTGTGTGTGATGCCCAAAGGCATACTTTTTAACCATCTAAAAATCAGTCTAACTACTGCCAACTATGATCTCACACACTACAATGTCAACTCAAATTGTCTTTTTGGCCATTTCATTTAATTTAGTTAGCAGATACTAACTAAAGTATACCTATATATGCATCATCAGTGTAGGAGATGCTGTGGTATTGTATTAGTTTCCTAGGGCTTCCATAACAAAGTACCATGGAGTTGATGGCTCTGAACAGCAGAAATGTATTGTTTCATAGTTCTGGAGGCTGGGAGTTGAAAATCTAGGTGTTGATAGGGCCATGTCCCATCTGATACCAGTAGGGGAATCTTTCTTTACTTCTTTCTAGTTTCTGATGGCTCGTTGGCAATCCTTATCATCCCTTGACATATATCGCTGCATCATTCCATTCCCTGCCTAATCATCCCTTCTCCTTGTGTGTGGGAGAAGGGGCCATCTTGTTATGACACCAACATTTGAAACAGCCTATTTTTACATTTAAATTGATCGTTGACTTACTTTTTAAGTTTAGTTGTGCATTTCTTCCATAAGATAGACAGAGACAGGTACCCCCAACAGGATCTTTACCTCACAATCCACCCCTAGCTCAGTCAGCTTAGATCAAAGACATGCCCAGGGAGGCCCCAGGATGTGAACCTAGGACATTTCCCATATGGGTCCAGTTGCATTACTGCTGCATCACTGCCTGGCCTCAGCCCTTTCTCTTGAAACAGTTTTTTTCACTTAACTTCTACAGTAACACTTTTTTAGTCTTGAACCTCATTAGGTACTCCTCCTAAGCCTCTTTTTCACCCTCATCTTCCTGGTTTCTAAATAGAAAAGTAGCTCACAGTTTGGTCTTCAAACATCTGAACTCTATCTACAACTACTCTGTGCCCTTCAACAGTGACAGCTTCACCCCCCCCCAACCTAAATTTCAAAACTGAATCCTTGATTCTCTCACTCCTTCCTCTGCCTATTCCTTCTCTTGAGCAATTCTTCTCTTCCAGTCTTTCAGGTCACAAATCTCATCCTCCTCTTTCACATCCCACAGCCAGTCTATTCACAAATCCCTGTTGGCTCTATCAAAAAGATATATCTAGAATCTATCCGACTTTCACTGTTTCAGCTCCAGTCCAAGCCACCTCTAGCTCATACACATGTGATAGGTTTTTTTATATGTTGTTTCCCCGTTTCCACATATATATATATATTTTTTTTTTGAGAGGTTTTTGCTATAGGGCATGTGCACTAGCCAGAAAGACATTCTCCTCTCGGGATCTTGGGCACGCACACATATGCACCCAGCATGAGTTTAAGCCCCCGGTACGAGACTCAAACCGCGGTCGATTACATGGGAGTCCAGCAACATAGCCATTACGCTAACGGCTGGTCCCCCTGTTTCCAACTTTTTACTCTCATCCTCCACCATATTGGAGTCCACCTAGCAGCCAAAGTGAGCCTGTGTAAGTATGTGTAAAGTTGTATTAGATCTGTGCTTAAAACTCTCATCTAGCTTTCTGTCTCAGAATAAAATCCAAAAGGCCTAAACATGGCCTGCAAAGCTCTGAATGATCTGGCCCTAGGACTCTGATGTTATCTCCTATCATTTAATCCCTCATTCACTGTGCCTCAGCTACAGTCTGACCTCTTTGCTGTGCCTTGGATATTTTCTCTTCCTCACGCCAACAGCATTCTTCACCTTTGTATCTACATGTCTCTTACGTCTCTTTTAGTTAATTTGGGTTTAAGTCTAAATGTTACCTTTACCAGAGAACCCTTCACTGACCCTAACATACCTTGCTCTATACTTAGAATTTTTTATTGAGTTCACAATACTTGTCATCTAACAGTACTATTGTTTTTTTCATTTTACTTGTTTGTGAGTCATAGGGCGCATGCACTAGCCAAAGAGAGAGAGAGATTAGACAATGAGAGGGAAGGTGAGAAATCACCCACCCCCACCCCCCCCCTCAGGAGAAGTGGCCATGCTGCAATCCTTTCTCCTCCATTCTCCTCTCAGGATTTTGGACACACAAGCACAAGCACCTGCCATAATTTTCAAGCCACTGTGTCTGGGACTCAAACTGTGTTCGGCCAGTCCAGCACCTTAACCATTGTGCCACCTGCTGGCCCTCGTACTACTTCAGTAATTTACTCTTCCACCAGAAAACAAGCTCTGTCTGACTTTGCTATATTTGCTGTTTTAGCCAAAGTATCTAAAACAGTATACAGTAAGTATTTCTTGAATAAGTGAATGGAAAAAATTTATTGAATACCCAGTTTGCTAAGCACTCTGCTAGGAGTTGAAAATACCACACTAAATTGGACATAATTCCCACCCTCCCTGAGTTTACAAAGCTGCAGAGGATAAAAACAAGTAAACCTATGAATAAATAAATATATTATTGTGATTCAATTTAGACATTCTACAAATAATATGTTGTTTTGCTTGGTGAGGGTCTAAATGTCAAATATCATCATAGTCTATGTAGCCTGCAATTACTTCTTTTAAAATAGAAATACATTTTATTATGTCATCCGCCAACATGTTTCTCCCCTTCCATCTTGTGATCTTGTGATCTACTGCATATATTTCTGATCAGGTAAGTTTGACTAAAATAAAATTTACAGTAATTTGTAAAAGTGTTACTGATTTATTCTGATTCCAAATGTAAGATGTGTGTAAGCACAACACAGTCTAAGCCTTCCTGACTATATGAATTCACCTTCCTTATTTCAGCCAGTCCTCTCCAAGTGTTGTCATTTGAAAATTAAAGATGGTATACCCTTGGAGGGTACACACAGATAATGTCATATCTTGAAAGAAAACTATGTGATCCACTAGCCTAACTATTCATTTTATAGACATGGAAACAAATCCCAACAGGATAAGCAATATACCCTCTGTGACTTGCCATGACTTAGGCAGAATATTATGGGAAGAAAGTTGATTATTATCTACTATGAGTGAACCTGCAGAGGTGGGCCACGCTTTGTGCCACTCCTACTCCTCCACCCCCATTTCTTCATCCCACTTGTATTAGTCTGCAAGGGCTGCCATAATAAAAGACCACAGACTGTGTGGCTTAAACAACAGACATTTATTTTCTCACGTTTCTGAAGGCTAAAAGTCTGAGACCAACCAAGGTGTTGTCAGGATTGGTGTCTGGCAAAGCCTCTGTTCCTGGTTTTTGGCAGCAGCCTTCTGTGTCTTCACGTGGCCATTCTATGTGTACCCAGAGAGAAAGAGATAGCCCTATAATCTCTTTTCTTAGGACTCAAGTCCTATCAAATTAGGGTGGCATACTTACAACCTCATATAATATTAATTACCTCCTTATAGTTTCTATCTCCAAATATAGTCACATTAGAGGTTAGGCTTTCAATATCTGTTTTTGAGGAAGACCGTTCAGTCCATAACACAATGCTTTCTTTCTTTTTTATTTTTCTAAGGTTTTTTTTTTTCCCCCATAAGGCACATGTGTTCAGCAAAGAGAGACAGAGAGAGAGAATGTGAGAAATCCCTTTTCCTCCGTTGTTCTCTAGGTATTTGGGGCACCCATGGACATGTGCCCAGTGTGATCTTAAAGCTGCCAAGTCCAGGACTTGAACCACAGTTGCCCATGGGGGAGTCTACTGCCTTAACCAGCATGATACCTGTCAGCCCCAACCAAACAATGCTTTCTAATAATACTATTCCTACCACATTCATCCTCGTTATTACTTAATATACTAACTTCAGCTCTTTTGTTCTGTGGAACTGATTTGACGTATTGAAGCGATACAGGGAATATAAGGAGAAAATATATTCAGGAATAAAACTGAATAATCTACAATAGAGTAGGAGAGAAGTTTTCTAATACAGTGTAATGTTACAGATTCATGCCTGCACACTATAATATTTTCAAAGTACATGAATATTTAATCATCATAAAAATTATTTTGGTTAAAAGTGCATTTAAATAAAATAGCATGATTATGATTTCATTGAATAACACAAACTTTTCTCTTTTCTTTCCAGATTATTTTGGGAATGTTTTGATAAAAATGGAAAATAATATCATCTTTTACTCCAAGACTAATATTAGAGATGCAGTGAAGCTACACTTGTGGGCAAATGACAGAACAAAAATGTCCATTTTCATGAGTGCATCTGGTGAAATAATTTTGGTATATCTTCTTGACAATGGCAAATTACAAGCACAGTCATATCCCTTAAAACTGGAAATACAAAGTATAACTTTTAAATCACAGGACAAATGCCCATACGCAGCATTTTCTAATAATGTTTTCAATACGTTTTACATTTTGGACAAGGGAGAAAACCTGACATTATGGGCTGAAATAGTATATCCAGAAAATTTTGGTCTCTTTGTTATGGTGGATGCCTATGGCCCAAAAATATTAGAACAGAAAAGAGAGATTGCTTATGAAATTGCTTCAGGATATTGCACTAAAACTATGGTAAGTTAATATTTTATATTTCTTCATTTGATCTTAATCAATATAAAAGTATAATATTAACATTTTTTACAAACAGATTTCCCTTCCAAGTTTAGCTAGAAAAATGATGAGGAAGGTGAAAGTTTTTAATAATAACATGATAGACCATTAATTTTTATGCCACATTTTTACTTTTTTTTTTTTCAGTTTTTTGCCATAAGGCATCAGCACTCACTGGAGAAAGACAGAGAGAGGGGAAGTGAGAAATCACTTTCTAGAGGTGATGGTCATACCACAATCCCTTCTCCTCTCGGGATTTTGGGCACATACGCAGATGTGCCCAGCATGAGTGTCAAGCTGCTGGGTCCGGGACTCCAATCACAGTCCATCATGTGGGAGTTCACTGTCTTAAGCACTATGCCACCTGCTGGTCTTGCAATTTACACTTTTTTAGAGAGAGATATATGCTATAGTGTGCATGCATTCACCAGAGAGACAGGGAGAAAAAGAAAGACAGAAAACGAGAAGTCACCCCCAGGGGAGGTGGCTATGCCTAATACCTTCTCTTCCATTTTCCTCTCGGGATTTTGGACACACGCACACATGCTCTGTGTGAGTTTAAGCTGCCAGGTCCATGACTCAAAACTCCAGTCAACTACGTGGGAGTCCAGCAACGTAACCATTATGCCATCTGTTGGTCCTGACAATTTTCCCTTTCAATATCCAAGTCTTATTTGACATCTGAAAACATGTTTCTTCAGAATTACTTGAGGTCAGCACACACTGTAGCAGTTACGTTGCTGGACTTCCACATGGCTGACAGCAGTTTGAGTTCTGGACCTGGTGGCTTGAAAATCACTCTGGGTGCATGTGTATACATGCCCAAAATCCCAGGAAGAGAGTGGCGAAGAAGGGATTTTGGGGTAGCCATCTCCCCTGGGTGGTGATTTCTCACTTTCCCTCTCACTGACTTTCTCTCTCTCTCTGGTAAGCACACATGCCCTAAGGCAAAAACCCCTTAAAAAAAAAATCCTTGGTTGTCATTGTATTGTTCGCTTCCATTTTTTTATTGAGAGGGAGATTTTTGCTATAGGGCATGTGTGCTCATCAGAGAGACTTAGACAAACAGAAAGAGAGAAATCGCCTCCCAGGGTGATGGCCACACTGTAATCCCTTCTCCTTCAGTCTCCTCTTGGGATTTTGGGCACACATGCACACGCGCTTGGCATTAGTTTTAAGCCGCCAGGTCCAGGACTCAAACCATGGTCAGCTATTTGGCAGTCCAGCCACATAACCATTACACTATTTTCTGGCCCCTCCTTTTTTTTTCTTTTTTAATGCATGACTTTTCTATAGAGTAACAGAACTCTATTCTACTCTATCTATTGTACAACAAACCATTTTAAAATCAAATAGCTTCAAACAACAGCCAATTCTATGGTCAACAGTTTGGGCTCTGAGTTAGCAAGTCAGTTCTTTTGGTTTCATCTGAGTTCATTCACATGGCTATGTTCATTTGGTGGTTCATCTGGGACTAGAAGATCTAAGATGGCCTCATTCACCAGCTATCATTGGTTTGTTAGTCTAAGGGGCCTTAGCTGGAACACTTGTCTCTGCTTCATGTGCCCTCTTATTTCTGAGCTAGACCTGGATTCTTCTCATGGCAGTCTCGGGGCAGAGTTCCAAGATGTTGAGAATTGAAGTTGCAAGTCCTCTTGAAGTCTGGTTTTGTCCACATTCCATAGGATAAAGCAAGCTGCGAAATCAGCTATAATTCACACAATGGGAACCCATAACAAAATAGCAAAGACTAGGTAGCTTAAACAGTAGAAATTTATTTTTTCACCATCGTCTGGAGACCAAGGGCACTAAACCTGTTCGTGAAAAGTCTGTTCTCATGACCTAATCACCTACCAAAGGCTCCACTTCCTGTAATATTGGAGATTAAGTTTCAGCATATAAATTCTGGGGAGAGGGGCATAAATATTCAAACCATAGCATTATCATATAATAGCATTTGCAGACACACTCAAATGACAAGCAAGAAGACAATCAGACCCAGCTGTTGTGGCATTCTGCTAAGATACTGGACTTCTTCTGGCTGGGACTACATGGAAGGCCTGGGTTTAATTCCTGGTCCAACATAAAGGCTGAGGGTGGTGTCATGCATCTGTACTCCCAGATGGAAGACAGAGGCAACAGAAGAGTGATAGTGAGACGCCATCTAAAACTTTTTAAAAAAGCATTATACATTTGCCTTTTATGGTGAAAGGAAATAAATAAGAGAAGAAAGTACAGTGAAAAATTAAGATACAATAAATAAAATATGCCAAGAAACAAGGCATATTTTTAACTCACATAATCTTCTTTAGTTTTTTTTTTTCTTAAGAATTGTATATATAATGTATATTAGCCCATTTGGAATTCAACTCTTCAGAATATTACTGGGTCAATGGAAAAATCATGACATATTTTTCTGGTTTTCTATGCAAAACTGTGTCGTGATTTTTCTGATGATCCAATAGGTACACATCAAAACATGTAACTGACCAACGACAATGAAACATCAAAATTTGCATTTTTTAATAAAATACTGGCTCTATCATTTACTATCCAATTACATTGAACAAATTTTTGAATATTCTGTCCTTGACTTCTATCCTCTGTAAATTGAGGGTGATAATAATAGTATCTATCCCATAAGAGTCTTATGAGGATTAAGTGAGTTACTCTAGATAGAAAACTTAGAAAAAACACGTAGCATATAGTAAGCACTATATGTATACATTACTGTAAATATCACCACTATGATCACCACTATTACTGCTATCATTAGCACCACATTTCATTAACTCTAAGACACAATTTTTATATTGAACATCTCTGAAACCTGGATGAATCTTCTGTTCTATGCCATTTGATGAGTTATGGTATTATTGTTACAGTACCCTGCTTATATCATGCATTTTGAGCTGTTATAATTTTACAGACTAATTATCTGTGAGATGGTGGTACTTGAGATAACTGGTGAGACTATAAATTCAATTTATATTGTAATTCTGTGACATTTTACTAAGAAAAATTTCAAACATGGAAAAATGAAAAGAATTTTACATTTGGGCCAGCAGGCAGCATGGTGGTTAAGGATACTTGACTTCCACATGTCCATCCACGGTTTGAGTCCCAGACCCAGTGTCTTGCTTTCTCACTTTCCCTCCCTTTCTCTCTCTCTCTCTCTCTCTCTCTCTCTCTCACTCTGTCACTCTCTGGTCAAATTAAAATAAATAAATAAAGTATTTTTAAAAGATTTAAAAATAGTTTTTGTTTTTTTTTTTTTAAATTACATTTAACACCTTTATCTCCACTGCCTAGACCCTACATTAAGATTTTACTATACTGGGACCAGCATTTGGCATAATGGCTATGTCACTGGACTCCCATGTAGTCGACCGAAGTTCAGGTCTCGGACCCCGTGGCTTAAACTCACACAAGGCGCGTGTGCGTGCGTGCCCAAGATCCTGAGAGGAGAATGGAGGAGAAGGTATTGCGGCATGGCCATCCCCCCTGGGGGGTGATTTCTCGCTTTCTGTCTCTCTGTCTCTCTCTTTCTGGCGAGCACAAGTGCCCTATAGCAAAAACCTCTCCCAAAAAAATAAATAAATAAAAAGATTTCACTGTACTTGATTTGTTACATATCAGTCCATCTTCCAATCAATGTTTTCTGTTTTTCTGTTTTTGTTGGTTTTTTGGTTGTTGTTTTGTTTTGTTTTGTTGTTTTGTTTTTTTCAGAGGTTTTAGTTAGAGGGTGCGTGTGCTTGCCAGAGAGACAGAAAGAGACAGAGAGACAGAAAGAGAGAAATCACCCCTGAGGGGGGATGGCCACGCAGCAATCCCGTCTCCTCCATTCTCCTCTCAGGATCTTGGACACACACGCACATGTGCCTGGTGTGAGTTTAAGCTACTGGGTCCAGGATTTGAATCACCGTCGACTACATGGGAGTTCAGTGACACAGCCATTACACTAACTGCTGGTCCCTCAATGTTTTTCTTAAGCATTTCAAAGTAAAGCCCAAGCACAGCAAAGTTTATCTACTAATGCTAGATATACTATCTAGAATTCAATATTTGTCTCTTCTTTCTTTTGAGTTAAGTACACTTATACCTATAATTACATGCACAAAACTTGTGTTTACATTCACTGTTCCAGCAAATGCCCATGTAACCCAAACTCCTATCAAGAAAGAACACATTATCAATCCACGGTTTTCTCATAGTCAATCCTTGTTACAATACTGTAGAAACAACTACTCTCTTGATTTTTTCCAGCATAGATTGTTCTGCCATTTCTAGAACTTTATGGAGGTGGAATCAATATGAGGGGATTTTTACCCATCATGTTTTCGAGACTCATCCATACTGTTGTATAAGTAGGTCATTCCTTTTTGTTGCTGAGTGGCATGAGTATGTCACAGTTTATTTATCTGTTCTTTTTTATTTTATTTCAATTTATTTATTTGCATTCATTCACTGTACATCATTACAGCATACAAAATGAGATTTTCCATCCAGAGTACACTGTATATTGTCTCAATCAAGCACATCAACAAACATGTTATTATTAGCAAATGATCTTCCATTTCTTGTTTTCTGTATGTTTTGCTTTTTCTCCCCCATCCTTGGTTCCCTCTCTTACCCTCTGCCACCTCCTGTTCTCCTCCCACACTGTCTCTGTTATCTATTTCTATACCATTTTCCCCCCACATTTTATTGAATCACCAAAGACCCTCATCAATCCAAATACCCTCCTAGCAAACACATTCCCTAAGCATCATCACAGCATACAAAATGTGATTTCCCATCCAGTATATACTGCATAGTGACTTAATCATTCATGTTATAAACAATTTTCTGTTTCTAGTTCCTAAAATTATTTTTATCCCTCTTTCTGACCCTCTGTCCTTTCCCACCCTCTCCTCACACTATCTCTGGAGTCTACAATTGTCTTCCATTCCTTTCCCACCCACATTGTATTGATCACGCAATTTCTTACATAATCTAACTACTTTCAATGTGAGTTCACTATAGATGAATTTGTTTTTTCTAGAAAATAATTATTTTTAATTTGCAATAGGAAATAAATAGCTCCATGTGCTCACTGGAGACAGAAAGAGAGAAAGTGAAAAAGTACCCTCCAGAGGGGAAGGCCACACCAAAATCCTTTCTCCTCCATTCTCCTCTCAGGATTTTGGGCACACACACATATACATATCCAGCAAGTTTTTCAAGCCAGGTGTGGGACTCAGATCACACAGTCAGCCATGTGGGATTCAGCCACCTTAACCACTTCACCACCTGACTGGCCCTATAGCATTTTATATAAATGGACTCATACACTCCACACTCTGGTGTCTTCAATAAGTTCATGGAAAATGCATATTTGGAAAAACTATGCATGAATTCTGTTTTTTTTTCCCCACAAAATAAAATTATATTAACCTGTTATATATATCTGAATAGGATCTAGTTTGAAGCTCTAAGAATGGTCATACCACTTTCTGAGAAGAGCTCCTATTAGAGCAACATGAATTTTCTAAAATTGAAGCAAAAACAAACATCAAATTATGGGTAAGCCTGAGTGATAGAGTAGTGAAATCATTGGTGCTTTAAAATAATTTATGGGGACACCACCACAAAGACCTTAACAGTTTATAAATGGATAACTCTTTTTTTTTTTTTTTTGTATAGGGCGTGTGTGCTTGCCAGACGGACAGAGAGAGACAGAGAGACAGAAAGCGAGAAATCACCCCCCAGGGGGGATGGCTACGCTACAATCCCTTCTCCTCCATTCTCCTCTCAGGATCTTGGCCACGCACGCACACGCACCTGGCATGAGTTTAAGCCACAGGGTCCGGGACTCAAACCGCGGTAGACTATGTGGGAGTCCAGTGACATAGCCATTATGCTAACTGCTGGTCCCAAGGATAACTCATTTTTAAAAGGGATAAGATGATATTAAAAATGATGGCCACAGCAGCAAACCATCCACATCAAATTACAAGGAAAAATTTCATTTTGTTCATGCCTTCATTGAAGTACACTGATGATTAAGAGCCAATACTGTACATGTCTCCTCTAGTTCCACGGAGACAACTACTACTGAAAAATTAAAGCTGAGCAAATTTTTGGCTCAATGGATGCCAAAACTTGCACCCAGATCATCTGTAGACAAGAGCAGCACTTTCAGTGGAAATTTTAAACAATTAGGATCAGGATCCTGCAGCATTTCTTCAAATAATTGTAACAGGAGATGAAACGTGGTGGGAACCAGCAGTTAGCGTAATGGCTATGTCGCTGGACTCCCACATAGTCAACCGCGGTTTGCGTCCCGGACCCGGTGGCTTAAAACTCACGCTGGGCGCATGTGCGTGCGTGCCCAAGATCCCAAGAAGAGAATGGAGGAGAAGGGATTGCGGCATGACCCTCGCCCCTGGGGGGTGATTTCTCGCTTTCTGTCTCTATGTCTCTCTCTGTCTGTCTGGCGAGCGCACGTGCACTATAGCAAAAACCTCTCAAAAAAAAAAAAAAAAAAAAAGAAAAATGGAGATGAAACTTGGTTTTATCATATCCTGAAGACAAAGCACCATCAAAGCCATGGCTACCAGGAAGGTGAAGTGGTTCAGTAAAAGCAAAAACAAGCTGATCAAAAACAAAAGTCATGGCAACAGTTTTTTTTGTTGTTTTTTTTGTGTGTTTTGGTGTCAAAGGCATTTTGCTTTTTGACTTTCTGGAGGACCAAAAAATGATAACATCTGCTTATTATGAGAAGGTTTTGAGAAAGTTAGCCAAAGCTTTAGCAGATAAACATCCAAGAAAACTTCACCAGTGAGTTGTTTTCTACCACAATTATGTTCCCAGGCAATTCTAAGAGTTTCAATGGGAAGTCTTAAAGCATTCATTGTAGAATCTTATGATTTCTTTTTTGTTTCCTAATTTAAAAAGGAAGAAAGAAAACCTTTTAAGGGCACCCATTTTTTTCTCAATTAACAATTTTAAAAAGACTGCAATGACATAGTCAAATTCCCAGGCTCCTCTGTTCTTTAGGATGGACTAAATGACTTGTGTCATTGCTTATGAGTGTTTTGAACTTGATAAAGACTATGTTGAGAAATAAAGTTTATATTTTTTGTTTTTGTCTTGTAATTCCACTTTTTTATGACATTTTGAGGTTTTCTCATAAATGAAAAATAAAGTATTGCAATGACAAAAGTCAAATGAAGATGGAGAGAGAAATAATATAAATAAAGACTAAGATAAAATTAAAAGTGAGAATAACAGAAATGGAATGAAGTAAACCTGCTATATACAGAGTTGAGATTTCTGAAATACAAAATAAATGTGAAAAAATGCTAAGTGTGTAATTTTTCTTACCTAAAGAAAGATTTAAATATGTCTTTTGACGGTATATTTTATGTCCTAGGAAAAGTCAGTTTATGGTGATCCACATTATTATCTATTCTAATGAAGGCATTTTATGTGTCTTGAAATAGAAACTCAAATGCTACGGAAGTTGGGTCCTCAATCCCCAATTTCCTGCTTTCCATACACTTTTAAATTTTCTTTTTCAGACAATAACGTTTTATCAAAGTATAAATTATGAGGCAGTAAATGATTACTTCAAATTGCAGTAAGTATGACTTTAATTTTTATTTATTTATTTATTTTTAGAGAAGTTTTTGCTATAAGGCACATGCGTTCACCAGAGACACAGAGACAGAGAGACAGAAAGCAAGAAATCGCCCCCTGGAGGATGGTCACACCACAGTCTCTTCTCTTCTTGGAAGTTTGGCCATGCACTCACATGCTTCCAGTGTGAGTTTCAAGCCTCCGGATTGAGGATTCAAACTGCAATTGGCCAGCAACATAACCATTACACCATGTGCTGGTCCTGAAGTATGACTTTAAAAGAAATTTTATTAAATATGGTAGTCAGGTTATTAATTTTTATTTTTATTTAAATGACCTCATTTCCTTTTAAATATCCAGATTTCACACTTCTTCCAATGTATACTTAGATGTGAATTAGCATTTAACTCTGTAAAAATGTAAAATACTCCTTGTAGTTAACAAAAGCATGATCTTTCTCAAGGTTTTCATTCATCCAAATAAAGAAGCAGTTAAGTAGGCTATTTCTTCCCCCTTTCTTGGAGAGATTTTTGCTATAGGGCATGTGTGCTCACTGGAGAGACAGAGACAGAGAGATGGAAAGCAATGGACCACCCCCTGGGGGGAATGATCATGCAGCAATCCTTTTTCCTCCATTTTTCACTCAGGACTTTGGTCATGCATGCACATGTGCCCGGTGTGAATTTTAAGCTTCTGGGTTCAGACTCGAACCAGGGTCAACTACATGGGAGTCCAGCAACGTAACTGCTGCACCATCTCCTGACCCAGAAAGTTCTTAATTCCATCATTTTGAAGCACTTTTTTTTTTTTTTGAGAGGGTTTCGCTATAGGGCGCGGGCGCTCACCAGACAGACAGACAGAGACATAGAGACAGAAAGCGAGAAAGCACCCACCAGGGGGGATGGTCACACCACAATCCCTTCTCCTCCATTCTCCTCTCAGGATCTTGGGCATGCACACACACGCGCCTGGCGTGAGTTTTAAGCCACTGGGTCCGGGACACGAACCGCGGTCGACTACGTGGGAGTCCAGCGACATAGCCATTACGCTAACTGCTGGTTCCCTTGAAGCACTTTTTATCATTAATTCCTAGTTAGAAGTCTCTACTATTATCCTTTTTAAATTTATATTTGTAGAACCTGAATTTATTTATTTTTCTATCTATTTTATCCTTAAGCAAAAACAAGAACCGTAATAACACAGAAAGTATCTAAATGTTGGTAGAGGTCAGCTTTGACTCTTGGAATAAGGGAGCACCTAAGCACTAATTTCTGGAGGAAGATACTAACCTGTCTATATTAAGGCATTTAGATAGCTATCATTATGACTTCACATTATTTTCTGCAAAAATAGTACTTTTTGGTAAAAAAAGAAAAGTTCATTTTTCATTCGTTTCCTGGTTCTCCAAGTGAATTCAAATATCTGCTTTTGCCAAGCACTTTTCAGGAGTTCAAAATACAGGGTAAATAAGAAAAATGAAACACCGGAGTCATGGAACATATCTGAGAAGACAAACAGCTATTACTCAGATAAACAAGATAATTCAAATACTGATAAGTGTTATTAAGACAAGAAAATAGACTGATGTGATAGTGATTGAGAAGCATGAGAAAATATTACTTTAGATACAGTAGTCAAGAGAGACTTAATTCATCCTTTTCCCCTCTCACCCACCAACTTAGCTCTTTTTATTTATTTATTTGTTTGTTTGTTTATTTATTTATTTATTTTTAAGAGAGGTTTTTGCTATAGGGTACGTGCAGTTACCAGAAAGACAGAGACAGAGAGACAGAAGGCAAGAAATCTCCAACACCACCCCCCGCTTCGTGGGGATGGCCACACTACAGTCCCTTCTCTTCCGTTCTCCTTTAGGGATCTTGGGCACACATGTGCACGTGCCCAGAGTTTAAGCCACCAGGGCCGGAATCAAACCGTGGTTGACCACATGGGAGTTCAGCGACATAGCCGTTACACTAACTGCTGATCCCTTAAGACAGATTTTGCCTGTAGGGCATGTGTGCTCACAGAGACAAACAGAAAGCAAGAAATTTTCCCCCAGGGCAGATGGCCACTCTGCAATCCCTTCTCTCCCTTCTCTTCAGGGGATCTTGGGAACACATGCACATGCAGCCAGTGTGAATTTAAGCTGCCAGGACGAGGACTCGAACCACCATCAACTATGTGGGAGTCCAGTGACGTAATCATTACTCCATCTGCTGGTCCCCCAACTTATTTATTTATTCTTCTAATGATGAGGGTTCCTTTGTATATTTTTGGCTTTATGGATACTTACTGAGAATTATGTTACTGGAGAACGCACATCAAAATGTTCAGGATTTGTTTTTTTGTTTGTTTTCTCCAGTTTTGTTTGTTTATTTGTTTTCTAATAAGGGTGGGTTATAAATCAAGCTTCTCAAATTTATTCTGCTGTTTCTGCGTCCTCACATGGTACCTGAGCACTTTATATGTGCCTCATAGTCAAGAAAGGCATTATATCTGAACTCTCGATTCCATCCAGACGATACTGTTTAACGTGGGTCAGAAAACTAATTTTATGCTTTATCCTTCATAGTTCCAAAGGTGTCATCAATAGCAGAGACAATCTGTAGAGGCTGGAGGGGAAATCAGTCCATATAGTGGCTGTCGCCTTGTACCAGCATGAGGAAGCAGGGAGGTCAGAATAGCAGCGACTGAGCCTCATTGTCCCAGGCCAGAGGGTGTTAACGAATGGGGGTGTGGGGATCAAAATGCCAATAGGATACTACTTTCTGTTTCTACTGTGCCTACTCTACGGTGGCCAAATTACGGGAAAACACGAGGTGGGGACAGCTTTACAATATGACCACAATGCAGAGGCAGTGAGCATCACCCTCCAGCCCTCTAAAATTCCGCATGTTGGTTCATTCGAATTATGTACAGGAGACTTTTCATTTGTTCAGCAGAAAGGCAGGGTTATTGCTACCTTCGTCATGACTCTGTAATAACTTGTATGGATTGTTTTTCCTAGAGACCAGAACACAGGAACTCTGCTTGTTGATTTTCAACCTAGTCAATTTTCCAAAACATGTGCAGTAGTCAAAAAGGTAAGTGATATGGGTCGAAGATCAAAAAGTTTACTTCAAGAATGTATAGATACTAAACTAAATAATACATATTCCATATCACGCGCTAATATTAGCAATATTTTATGATGTTTTGCTGTAAAGATAGCTTTATTTATTTATTTATTTATTTATTTATTTGGAGAGGTTTTTGCCGTAGGGCACGTGCACTCGCTAGACAGAGAGAGACAGAGAGACAGAAAGCGAGAAATCAACTCCCCAGGGGGGATGGCCACGCTGCAATCCCTTCTCCTCCATTCTCCTCTTGGGAATCTTGGCCACGCACACACACGCACCTGGCGTGAGTTTTTTTTTGTTTGTTTTTTTTTAAGAGGTTTTTGCTATAGGGCGCATGCGCTCGCCAGACAGACAGAGAGAGACAGAGAGATAGAAAGCGAGAAATCACCCCCCAGGGGGGATGGCCACGCCGCAATCCCTTCTCCTCCATTCTCCTCTCAGGATCTTGGGCACGCACGCACACGTGCCTGGCGTGAGTTTAAGCCACCAGGTCCGGGATTCGAACCACGGTCGACTACGTGGGAGTCCAGCGACATAGCCATTATGCTAACTGCTGGTCCCTATTTATTTATTTATTAGATCTTTGCCATATGGTGTATGGACTCACCAGAGGAGGGACAGAGAGAGAAAGTGAGAAATCACCCCCAGGGAGATGACCACACCACAATCCCTGGTCCTCCATTCTTCTCTTGGAATTTTGGCCATGCACGCACACACACCTGGCATGAGTTTTAAACCACCAAATCCAGAACTCAGACTGTAGAGTTGGCCATGTGGATCCAGCACCATATCCACTATGCCACCTGCTGGCCTACATTATTTTATTTTGAAAACAGAAGATAAGATATTTTTACTTCTGTGAGTTTATTATATAACGTGTGATATATAAACTTACTAAAAAAAGGTAAAATTTTTTTTGAAGATTTGACAATATGTGTAACTATGTAAAAGAAAACTGAAGTTAATGAATATATATTTTTAAAAACATTGCCATTCATGTTCATATTAATTCTCCATTTATTCATTCATAAAATCAATTTATTAATTAAATTTTTATATGCCTATTATGTATCTATTTTCAATCTGTTTGCTAGATAATGGGAATTACATGATGAAAAGATAGCCCTTGGGCCAGCCAATGGCATGGGGTTAAGGCTTTTCAATCTCACTTGGCCAACTGCACAGCTGAGTCCTGGACCCACAGCTTGAAAAACACGCCAGCTGCAGGTGTGTGCCTGTCCAAAATCCCAAGGAGAGAATGAAAGAGAGACCATTCAGTGGAGGACTGGTGTGAACATTCCCCTGAGAGATGCCTTCTCGCTTTCCCTCTCTTTTTCTCTGTTTCTCTCCAACAAACCCATATGCTGTATGGGGGGGGGGCAGGCAGGGAGGGGAAGCCCAAGAGCTATAGCACAAATGATAGGGCACCACTTTGCAAGGCTGGAGCCACATGAGATGCCCGGTTTCAATTTTCAGACCATCCTAAATAGGTTGGACACAGTGATGTACGCCTATAATCCTAACTAGTGGAGAGACTGGAGCAGGAGGATTACAGCATGGCAAGACCTTGTCAAAACTACCTATTACTTTCTCTTCCTATGTCCTCTCTCATTAAAAAGAAAAAAAAAAAGTTGTAAAGACAGAGTTCCTTCCCTGGGAGTACACAGAAACTAGCTAGCTTTAGAAAATGTGGTATACAATTATCAGATTACCCAGAGAAAGGGGTGAGCAATTTTGACTGGCAGGAGAAAGGTAAAAAGAAAATGATATGTAAAATGACTACTATAGAATAAGAACTTCAACAGGCAGATGCAAAAGGGATTCTAGGGAATGGCATAGGGAAAGGCATAGACAAAGCACAGAGGTGTGAAACAACAATAGGGTGTTCAGCTAAGTATGAATATTGTGAAATTTAATACAAATTCATTTTGTTTTTTGTTTTTTTGTTTTTTGGGGGTTTTTTTGCCATAGAGTACATACACTCGCCAGAGAGAAACAAAGACAGTGAGAGGGAAAGTGAGATATCAGCCTCCCAGGAGGGAGGTCACATTCCAATCCCTTCATTCTCCTTGCGGGATTTTGGGCACACACACACACACACACACACACACACACACACACTCCAGAGCCTTCACCATCACACCACCTGCTGGTCCCTAAACACAAATACTTAACAACCCCACCTATTCTGAGTCTGTATTCCAAGCTAAGACATAGCTCCTCTCTTGATTCCTTTCCAACCTGACATTCATTAAACATACATTGACCACCTGCTGTATACTAGACATGCATCAGGAATACAAAGTGATGTAGGACACAGTCCCACCCCTTCAGACTCCCAGCGCAAGGTTCCTTGAATTTACAGGGAGTCTTGAACTGAAGCAGATTCCATCCATCTATGAGCATTGCTAAAAAACACTATTTCTCAGGACCAGCAGTTAGCATAATGGCTATGTCGCTAGACTCCCACGTAGTCGACTGCGGTTCAAGTCCTGGACCTGGTGCCTTAAACTCACGCCGGGCGCATGTGCATGCGTGCCCAAGATTCCAAGAGAAGAATGGAGGAGAAGGGATTGCAGCGTGGCCATCCCCCCTGGGGGGTGATTTCTCGCTTTCTATCTCTCTGTCTCTCTCTGTCTGTCTGGCAAGCACACGTGACCTATAGCAAAAACATCTCAAAAACAAACAAACAAACAAGCAAACAAAAACACTGTTTCTCTAGGAAATTGCCTGTAATTGGATACCAATCCCCTGTATGCCAACCATGCCACCCACCCACCTTCATCTGTGTACAACAAGAACTCATGAGGTTGCATCTATGCTGCGTTCAGATCCCAGGTCTACCATTCACTGACTTGAGCAAGCTACCTAAACACTCTGAGTCTCAGCTGCCTCAGTTGTCAAACATCATACATAATAACTATCTCATGGGACTGTTGTGTTAAATGAGATCATTTATGCAAACTATACAAAACAATGCCTATCACGAAGTAATTAATATTACTGGCCTCTGCCTTCTCTTCTTTAGCATGCTCCAGACAAGGACAGTTCAAATCTAGCCACTCCTTGGACCAAATGCAGGTGGTCTGAATTGACCCACCCACTGAAATAGAGTTGAGAAATATGTATAGCCCTTTCAGGCAATAGGAAAATGTGACCTTGCAGAGGCAGGTCCTATAATTAGTCAAGGAAATCCAAACCTATACACAACCACAAGCTCTGTTCTCAACTAGGGGTCCCTTCTTTGTGTTCTCATACTCCTATCAGCTTCCCCGATGAGCATCTTAGAGACACAGCACCATGGCCCATAGAATTCTCCAGTTTCATGAAGTTAGGTTCTTGTTAAGTCAGGTAGACCAAATGGACATAGACTGAGCCACTCAAATAGGAGCCTGCTGTATTTGTCACAAAGGCTTCACAGCCTGCAGCAGAGCAGCAAATAGAACCGGCAGCTCCCCTTTATAATCAGATTGAGAATCAGAAATGCAGAAATGTAGGCCAGACCCCAGAAGACCTTAGTAATTCCTTCCAAGATAAGTTTTCCATGGAGGGAAGATCACGATTCTTTCGAATGTGTTATCAACCAGCATTTCTGTGTTGAGGACCTTTACAATTCCTGTTTCAGAGCAGTCATTCTGTCCAGTTACAGGGAATTATTATATTTGACCCTGAGCTAAGGCAGGAGAAATGTTACAGTTAGGCTATATGTCAGAATTTCTCTAATTAGGTGTCTAGTTCTCAGGAACATGTATCAGCCCTGCAGCACTGGGTACTCAAAAACAGGCTAATTCATGTTTCCCATGCTCTGTACCTAAAATGTCTTTTCAAGATCCACTGTATTTTTAATCTTAGCTGTGGTTGCTGATTCTGAAGCACGAGGGGATTTTTATCAGCTAGGATCAAGAAGAGAAGGGATATTTTACAAATGAGATCCTCAGGTGATATTGGGTCCTGCCTGTAACAGATCTGAGGACCTCAGCCAATGCTGCATATTGCATGAGTAATTTAGTAAAGATAAAGGGCAGGCCCATTTTTCTGAACGTACTTGATGAGAAAGCAAAGATTTAATGATGATGAGTAGTGAGAACTGGATAGAGTTGAGAGAATAAGTCAGGTTCTTTAGGTGGATCAAATGATTCAGGAAATAGAATTATTAATTCCT